ACTTGTCTGATAGCTGTAGCAAGAAGACCCAGGGAAATTAGGATGGATCCTGCAGGTAAGCACCATTAACAAAAACACAGTGAACGCCTTTGCAGGCAAGATATATCTGCTCACCTCTGGAGAACTCAGGCAGAGCTGGAATTTCTTAGAGCAGCCATGCGAGTTACAAAGGCGCAGTGAGTCACTGTCGTCATTATGATACTCTACAGGGACAATAACTTAAAATTTTAAAGAAGCCTTTTCTGGCTTGGTTGAATAAGATGCTTCATAAAGTGACTCTAGATAATCCCTGAGCATCTAATGCTGCTTGCCTGTTAGGCAAGGAGGGAGCTGCGTCTACCTACAGGTTTTGCTGCACATCGGGCTGGACAGTTAGCTTATAGGCCAGGCAGGCAAGGATGGAGCTGGTGGCTTCACATCCAGGGAAAATCAGGATAATTGCTTAGGTCTGAAGCTCTTTAGCTGTAGTGATTTTGAAAAAAAAAAATGGTGGAAAGGGCGAATGGCGAACAGTACAGGCTGTAGTCTGTGCTTCTTGCGGCACAGTATATATTACAGTACATACATACACTAAGGAGAGGGGTTCGTTCCTTCTCAATGTGTTCAGGGAAAGAGATGCGGGGAAAGGAGGCTATGCTGAAAAAAATGGTTGTTTTGAGGTATTTTTTAATTAGCTCCTGCAGATTACACTGCACTCTTGATGAGCTCTTGCCAAGTTTGCTGTGATTTTTGTAAGTCTGTAATAGTAACAATATAATCGTTTTCTATAACAATAATAATGATAAAACCCAGATAATCCTTCTGTATCTCCTGCATAAGCTTCATGTAATTAATCACTTGGTGAAACATTCTTGGTCTAAGGGATGGATGAACGCAGCACATCTCCGTGACTTGATGAACAGGCTAAAGCAGCAAGCACAGCCTTGCTGTATTCATCATATCTTTATATGCCGAAAGCAACGTCAATCTAGTGCAAGATTGGAATAGGGTTAAAATGACAAATAGGTGTGTTGGGATCTCAGATTTGTCCCTCACTGCCTAGAGGGGAGCGTATTACCAAGTCAGTAGATTTAGTGCTGAGGAAAGA